GAATGCCAGAATAAATGCTTATTAAATTTACTTTGTGCTAAAAAATACCAATAACGCCCACAAAATTCTCTCCATTTTAAACATTTGGAATGACACAAAATTTTTGTAGGAGAAACCACTCAACCCTTACTCAGAAATATTTATTCAACCTACATTCTAAAAAGTAGGAAATCCATTTACGATGCATTATCTTTTTATGAAAACATATGTTCGTTTGCACTGCAATCTCATTTATTTTAGCAAATGTATGGGAGTGCAAATGAAAAAATTGCAAAGTAAGATTCATTTTTGCTTTAGGGGTTTCATTTTATTTTGATTAAGATTTTATTTTACTTCATCTACACTGCAAATAAACAAAAGAAAGTAAGACACTAAGACCTATAACTAAATTAAACCAAAATTTGGGCTCAACTTATTTCCAATTTTCCACACCTATGCTTTTTTACAGAGACCTACAACCAAATTAAACCAAAATTTGGGCTCAACTTATTTCCAATTTTCCACACCTATGCTTTTTTACAGTAAGACCTACAACCAAATTAAACCAAAATTTGGACTCAACTTATTTCCACACCCATGCTTTTGCAGTAAGACCTATAACCAAATTAAACCAAAATTTGGACTCAACTTATTTCCACACATATGCTTTAGCACCGGTGCAAATAGAATTGCACTGCAAACAAACAAGGCCTTTAGTTCATACGTAAGAAACAATGCTGTAGGTTATGTGCATTTTGGAATTTAATTTCAGAATTTTATACAATTCTTTTATCGATCATCATATCTACATAGTGAAACACATGGTTTTCAAAACTGGATCAGACTGGATGGTCAGACCGGAAAAACCGGGATTTGGTTAGCAAACGGCTGACCTGAGCGGTCAAACTGTTTGAACCATCCAACAGTTTTTGGTCATTTTTTTATTTTTTTTTTAATTTTTTTTATTTCTTTTATCAGAACGGACCATTCGTTCGGCTCAAATGGTTAGACTGTTTGACCCGGAGACCGGATCCTAAATGGTTCGTTGTCCAATTCAGTTTTAAAAATGTGAAACATGAATGTAAATTTCCATGAAACTTAAAAAAGTTCAATGTCAATTATGGTTACTGAAATGAAATCTCAAAGAACTCTGATGGATTTATTTTGGAAGACATTTTGGAACATTCATGAAATTTCAGGATTTTTTTGATATATTTCATCTAGAAAAGTCAAGGTTTTTAAAATCAGACGAGATAGGGAACCGTTATAGGGTCTGGTTTAGTGGTTCCCGGGTTGAACGGTCCAACCAATCGGTCCAAACGGACGACCTGCTCTAATAAAAATTAAAAAAAAATTAAAAAAAACACAAAAATGGCCAAAAACCATTCCTGGGTCGAACGGTTCGACTGCCTGGATCAACAGTTCACTGACCAAATCAACGATTTTTGGCCAAAAAAATTTTGGGGTAAAACAAAACTAGTCAACTGGTCAAGTGACCAGTTTTTTCGGTCCGACCGTACAATCTGGTCTGAATTTAAAAACATTGATAAAAATAATTAATGTAATTAAATACAGAAATATTAATAAAATATGAAAAATTGGTCAAAATATTTTGAAATTTCGTTCCAGATCTTAGGATCCAAAATGAGTGAACTCCAAACTTCAACTCCAAGCCTTGTAGTCAACTTATTAGTCTGATTTGATTGGGTTTAGATTTTAGGGCATCATTCAGATCTTAAGATCCATCTGATCCAGGTGTAGCCCTACTAAAAAAAGTTGTAGACTCTGAAAATAAAGAAATCAATTTGACCCTAACTGGCGAGAATTTCAGGCCATTGCTTTAGACTCACGGCTTGTGCCAGATGAACTCCCTTCTTTTTCATTTTTATAATTAGTTTAATATATATATAAAGGAAATTTAACAAGAGTGCCACCTACTAATAGTCATTATGGGCAAATTCAGGATAGCCACGTGGCAAATCAGAGTAGTTGGTGGTAAAAATCAGGCCCCAGATATCCATCCCCCAATTTTCAGGAGAATTGTTCATTCCTGAAAGAAATGCCTTCTTAACAATTTATGCAAGTCATCTAGTGTTTGAAAGAATTGCAGAGAGAGAGAGAGATGCACTTGTAAAGCTAACAATTGACAGGGTTAATTAATGGGATGATTTCTTAGGTGAGACTAAATTAGTAGTAGGCCCCAGTATCCTAACAGTGTGCATCTCATAGCCCTATGCCAAGCTTTGCTGCTTTCGAATCGAATGCAACAGTTAAACAACTGCAACCACCATCTCTTAGAAGAGAAGATGGAGAAGAAAAACACAAATATACCTAAAAAATAATGAATACGTTTAGGTGGGTACACCAGAAGCATCTGCAATTAACCCTGCAGTATTCATTTTTAGATACCATCCATAGACATCGATATCTGTGGTCCAAAATATACAGGGCCGAGGGTTGAGTTGAGTTTCTATCTACTTTAAAAAATAAAATTGAACCGTTTGCTTATCAAAAATAAATAAATAAAAATAATAGATTGTAGTTTCTTTTGTTAGGAAACCAGGGAGTTGAACCAAAATCTACGAGCCATATTGGCAATGGATTCAACGTCGTCATCTCTACGTTGAAATTTAATATTTTGTGTTACCACTGTGTTGTGTCATCTTAGTATTCTCTTTTACCCCACTTAGCTTGTTCTTTTATTAATTGCTAAGTTGTTCACTACTTCACTGGTTGATGAGAAAATTATTTACAGTAGCATATCCCACATTGCGATATGCATTATTTTGACACTACTGAGTTTTTTTAGGGGGTCGTGAAGTCAGGACTACAGCCGCACGTCAAGACTAATAAACATTTCAATTGTTTTAATTTTATGGGAAGATGTTTTGATGCATGGTTGTAGTTTATGCATGCATATATATATATATATATAGCGCCAACACGATAGGGATTCATAGTTCATTCCCCAACTGTATACTGCTGAAAGAAGTTATCAACTGAACCAGTTTTTGATCGCTACTGATGAGTTGGTCTCAAAACTTTGCCGAGTTTCCAAAGTAACAAGTAAGTCAAGGAGCTCAGTCAAAATCATAGGCCAACTCGGTCTTGCACTCGGTAAAAATATCATTTCTTTTGTTACATATGCACAATAATTTTTAATGAATAATAATAAAAGCACCAACTCGGACTTAACATTAATATATTTGACATTGGAACTAAATAAATTCTTTCAAGACTTATCCACTTTTTTTTTATTATTACCAATATTGCGAGTAGTTTGTTCATTCACCAGTTGAGGACAATTTTTACCAAGGACCATGCACGGTAGATCCCGATTCCCACGTTGCCATTGGCATTGCTTCATTTGCTTGGGCGGCACTGAGTTGGTCCAAAGACCTTGCCGAGTTTGTCGAGTAACTCAGTCAAAATCGTTAGTCAACTCGGCTCGGCACCTCGGTGCCTAAAAACATCAATTTTTTTTTTTTTTATTACATGAACATTATCAATTTTTAGTAAGTTAATAATAACATGAAGAGCAAAACAAGGAGTGCCTGAAGACGTCGTCCATGCTTGCAGAATATGTAGCAGAGTTCTTGTTTGCAGAAAATTCCTTCACTTGAGTCCTGTTTAGTGACATTCACACCAAGAGAGGCAAACAGTGCTGCACACCTCGTGGCACGTCATGCTCTATCCAGGGCCAGGGGCGACCCCGAGGAGCCATGGCGATGGCCCCCCTCTGGCTCAGAAATCCCCACACATCTATTACACTCTCCCTCCCCACCCACCCCAATGGTAAATGGCTTGGTCTCCCAATGGCCCATCCATATTTATTCTCTCCCGGCCCCCTCCCCGATCTACTTTAGATTTTAGCCCCCTCTCATAAAAGAATCCTCGCTCCGCCCCTTGCTGGCTCTACCCAGTACCCATTGATTCTATACAATCTTATTCGATATCTACATGCAATACCTGATTTTTTGAAGCATTGTTAATTGTAACTTAAGCAGATAAATGAAATGGTGGGAAAAGAAGATCAAACTTCTCGTCCCCATTGTTGAAAAAAAAAATGAAAATATGCCCACAATCATAGGAACGTAAAACCTAGCTACATTCATCATGAGCAGTTAAGAGTGTTTTAGTTACCAAACAGCCCAAAAACTTGATGCATGTATAAATGAATGAATGAACTTACTGAGAACTAATTTGATAGGAGTTAGGAGATATAATCTCCATATCTAATTATGATATTTTCTTGCATTCTTGTGATTGCCAAATGAAGTTATGAATTTACAGCAACAACAATTAAATGCAATGGGCTAATTTAGTCAGAAGTAGATGCGCCAAACAGATAAAATGGATAGACTAGTAATCCAAGAGATGAGAGTTGGATACATCTGCCTGTTGCCAATCTCTTGAATGAATGGAATTGCCGCCCCCAAGTTTACAACAATCGTGTTGACCTAGATCATCACCGAATTAATGATTTATTGTGTGTTTGCATTAATTATTCCTTTGTCCGCAATTAATTCGATGGTTGGAAGTTTGGACTGAATTATAAGCTGAGGAGCCCAGAATACGCACGGAAACCCTCAAAGAAGCTTCCAAGTCTATGTGTGTGTTTCAGACTGGTTTTTTAATAATCTTTCGGTGAGCTGTTTTGAAGCTTAGTTTGTTACCTACATAAAAATGAAATGATTTCACCGCTCAATTAGTGTTTTAATTGATCACCGCCACGTTAGATAAGATTTCTTCCATCTTAATTTTTCTCTTATTCACAACTGAGAATTTGAGATAACAGATTACTTTCTTCTATCCTTCATCCATTACTTGACTAGTCTTGTCAAATAAGTTTAGTCCTGCTATCTCTAGTTGTTGACTTGTTGTATCTACCTCCCACCAATCTTCTTTTATTTCTTCAATCTCTCTCTCTGTGACCTCTGACCTCTCGTTTTATTTTATATTTTTTTGTTCTAATCGATTAAGGTGCCAATATCTTTATATATATACCCTTCTATTCCTTCCATCCCTCGTCCTTTGCAGTTTACAGAGAGAGATATCTATTATCTGGCTTTAGAGTTTATTAGAACCACTAGGCTCAGTCACCAATTCGCCATGGAAGGAGTGGGAGCTCAAGCCGCCAAAAATGGTGGTGCCGGTGAAGGAAGCCGCATTCAGGCCCGGCAGAGTCGGAGATTGCCTGATTTCTTACAAAGCGTGAACGTTAAATATGTGAAGCTGGGGTATCATTACTTGCTGAAATATCTTATCACTTTCTCTCTTATTCCGGTGATGGCTGTGACCCTGGTCCGGGCGTCGCAGTTGAGCTCGGAGGATATCCTTGAACTATCACATCAGCTTGAGAAGAATTTGGTGAGTGTCGCCATTTGCTCTGCACTGCTTGTATTAAGTGCTACCGCCTATTTCATGACGCGGCCACGCCCCGTGTATCTGGTGGACTTTTCCTGCTACCTCCCTCACTCACACCAGAGGGTTAACTACAAGAATTTCATGGAACACTCCAGGCTCACTGGGGACTTCGATGAGTCTTCGCTCGAGTTCCAACACAAGATCCTCGAGCGCTCCGGACTCGGCGAGGAGACGCACGTCCCTGACGCGATGCACTACACTCCTCCACGGCCGACGATGGCTAACGCTAGGGAGGAAGCCGAGCAGGTCATGTTTGGCGCTCTAGAAAATCTTTTCTCCAATACCTCCGTGAAGGCTAAGGACATTGGTATACTAGTCGTGAACTGTAGCTTGTTCAATCCGACCCCTTCGCTGTCCGCCATGATTATCAACAAGTACAAGCTAAGAGGTAACATTAGGAGCTTTAATTTGGGCGGAATGGGATGCAGTGCGGGAGTGGTCGCCATCGACTTGGCCAAGGACATGCTCCAGGTTCACCGCAACACTTATGCCGTCGTCGTCAGCACTGAGAACATCACCCAGAACTGGTACTTCGGGAACAAGAAATCAATGCTGATACCTAATTGCCTGTTCCGCGTGGGTGGATCGGCGGTTCTGCTGTCGAACAAGTCCTCAGACAGGCGCCGGGCCAAATACAAGCTCCTCCATGTCGTGAGGACCCACTGCGGAGCCGATGACAAGGCGTTCCGTTGTGTGTACCAGGAGCAGGACGACCAAGGTAAAACCGGGGTCTCGTTGTCGAAGGATCTCATGTCCATCGCAGGAATGGCACTTAAGACCAACATCACCACATTAGGACCTCTCGTCCTCCCAATCAGCGAACAGCTTCTCTTCTTCTTCAATTTGTTGGCCAAGAAGCTAATCGATCCCAAGAGGAAGTCCTACATCCCAGACTTCAAGTTGGCGTTCGATCACTTCTGCATACACGCCGGGGGAAGGGCCGTGATCGACGAGCTGGAGAGGAATCTGCAGCTGGAGCCGACTCACGTCGAGGCTTCCAGGATGACACTGCACCGGTTCGGCAACACGTCGTCCAGCTCCATCTGGTACGAGCTGGCCTACACGGAGGCTAAAGGGAGGATGCGCAAAGGCCACCGCCTCTGGCAGATCGCATTCGGAAGTGGCTTTAAGTGTAACAGTGCAGTGTGGGAGGCGGTTCGGAATGCGAAGCCATCACCCAACAGTCCCTGGTTGCATTGCATCGACAGGTATCCCGTCGAAATTGTATCTTAGCTCTTCATTGATTCTGAAGCGGAAAAATAAATATCAGAGGCATCAACCGTACGTCTTCATCTCTTTGATTAATCATTCATGTATCTGGGGTCAATTAAGTCTATGTTATATCATCATTCATCAGGTTTTCTTTTTCACTGCTCTTTATTGTTTATAGATTATAGTGTTGCATACATGCATCAGGTCATGCATGGTGGTCACTGTTGCTTTTTTTTTTCTTTCAAAGAACTTTCTCTACTGCAATTTATTTGTCCCTGCTTCATCAGGAACTTAATTTAGAGAAGATGTGTATACTATTAATCCTTTACGAACAGATCTAGTGTGTTACATATATATGATTTTTTTGGTTGTAATAATCAATATTAATGTTGGGTTCCATTTGAACAATTATTTAACTCGATATGATCTATGGAAATTGGCATTCTATATAGCAGATATGCAGGTTCATCTCTCTCTCTCTCTCTCTAGCAAGATAGGTTGAGTTAGAACAAATAAATTTGCAAGTAAAGGGGTCAAGTCTTGACTATGAAATCGCAAATCGGTGTTGGTATCGGCCAAATTAAGGATTCATTAACCTTCTAGGCACCAGGCTTCGATCGACGGTGTATGTTCATATTAATGCTTATGATGTGCATTTATGGAAAACCCAACGATGACCTCCAAGGGAAAAAAATAAATAAATAAAGACTTCTTTTCCAACAATTTTGTGTTTTTTTTCCCAGTAAATTAATATTGAGATGTAACGAATTGATAAATAAGGTTCAACTAGATAAAGACAAAATTATTAACGTATGCATGAAAGCCAAAATTTTGATTACCATTTTTACCAATAACTAAGGGCCCGTTTGGTTACCCATCCACCAATGACCAAACGGAGAAGCTCAAAATTAAACAGCTCTGCTGCCGCGCGCCTCTTGTTCTTATTATATCCATGGAGAAACTTCCTATTGCTTACCCATCCACCAAAGACTACGTACTAGACACACATTTATTCAAATTGAAGCAACAACAAGGATCTTTTTTAAAAGCTACCCTATATTGTCAATGCAAACATATCATTAATTAATATTGTCTTTTGGTAACAATTAAGGCTCAATTTGGTAAGAGTATGCAAAACCTTGTGTATTTTGTATTTTTTAGTATATATTTACATTCTACATATTTGTATTAAACGTAAAACTCAGTTTGAAAGGAGTATAAATACAAATATATAGAGCGCAAAAATCTATGGTCCACTGGAGCCATATCACCCCTCTATCGTCCAGAAATCCCCCACTAATAATACAGTGCTCCATGTAAATTTCTCCTCCGCCCTTGATTGTAATAATCTTTAATTGAGACTTCTCCATCAGATGGTCCAGGGACAGTGTGATTAATATAACCATCCAAATATGGTTAATGAAATGCATTTTCCAAAGAGGTGGTCCACACCTTCCTCTAACCCTCTTGCTTGACCATATCGAAATGACACTTCCAGGTCTGTAGGCATAGCGCGTGTCGCTCTGTATTAGGGCTGCAAATGGGTTATCTAAACATGGTCAAGCCAGGCCAATAAGTGCAGGACATGGGTTGAGGGTTGTTGACTTCTGGTCCAGGCCTCTCATGCATTTAACATGGTCAAGCCAGGCCAATACGTCCCTGTCTTTTTAAGTATTTCCCACCCATCAATCTAGCTCCAAGAAAGATACATATATGGTCTGTACTACTATTCATATTCACTTTGCTTTCTGCATGGTGTTATATGCTTTGCTGGAGACTGGAGTAGATAGGTTTGAGGTCATATGGACACCCCATGCATTTTGTGGAATATAATGGGCTGGAGGTAGGGCTGTTCGTAACAATATCTAAATCGACCAAACCGATCTAATTCAAGTTAGTTGGTTTTTCTTCAGTATCAGTCGGTTTTGAGTTACAAAAAAATATAAATCGATGATTCGGTTTGATTTAATTTTCATGTGTAAAAATCAAAATCGAACCGATCCAAACCAATTTAGATATATAATATATATAATATATTTCAGATATTATATATATTTCAGCTTTACTTCAGAAATATACATATTATATATAAAATATCAGTTTTAATCTATTAAATCATTTTTAATTTCCAGGCATCCAACTTTTGCTTTCTTAGACTTAAATCCTTTACCGTTTACATCGAGAGAATCATTCACAAAACCGACACAAGCCGACCCAAACCGATTCAAACCGACTAGGTCATTTTTACTTAGTACTGTGTCAGTTTCAATTTTATTTCTACGTAAACCGACCAGGTCGGATCGGTTGGAAATACGCCAGTAAACCGACCCAACCCGACCCGTGAACAGCCCTAGCCGGGGGTGTAATCAACTCTGGAATCATGATTTTGTTTGGACAACTCTTTTGCTCTCTTGAGTACTGTAGGGGTGTCAATGGACCGGGTTTAGATTGGACTTGTCCAAACCAAAATCAATTTGGATGGATTGGGCAGACCAATAAGACATATTGAATTGGACCAGTCCAAACTTAAGGGTTCAAAGTATTTATTATTGTATTGGATTGAACCTGGTCCATCCATAATAAATTTATATTGGATTGGGTTGGGTTGATCTAATATCTGATACATTCATAGAAGATAAGAATATGTGTCAATGGACCAGGTTTGGGTTAGAACTAATCTAAATTAAAACAAATTTTAAAAAATTGGACGGTCCAGACATTGAATTAGACTGGTCCAAAACATTCATTGGATTGGATTGGACCTGATCCATTTGTAATGGACTCACTAGATTGGACCTGATTGGACCAAATCCAATCCAATTGACACCCCTACTTGAGTGGTAGAATAATTTTGCAGTTCACTTAACCCAATTCTCTTTCCATGTGTTAAGCTTCCTTGTTTCTGTGTTCACCATTAATGCTTCACAAAGGGGAGATGGCAAGATGGATTTACTGCATGGCCCCATTTAGCGCGTCTTTCTGTATTGGCGGTCGATTTTTTAGAAATCTGGCAGCTCGTGTTTTAATCTTCCTCTGTTTGGTTGGAGGAAGATCTTTTCGTTGAAAGACCGTGTTCTAAAAAGACGTGAAAAACTTGATTTGGACTTATTTCAGAAAGCTTAATTTCAACTTATTTCATCTTCACATAGAAAGGCACACCTCCAACCAAAAAGTCTTTGGACTGCCGAGATCATTATGTAAAAACTCACACCGTCTTTTAACTATTAAATCTTTTAAAAAATCTTTAAAAAAACTTACCAAACGGCACCTTACTTATCCCACCCTGCCCTAGCAGCCTGGCTAACAAGCTTGAATATCAAGCTGAGGCTCGAAACCACAGTCAACCAAGCTGATATTGTTGACAGGCCTAGAATGGTAAATCTTGGGTTTGGGCCATTAGTGAGATAGGGTCCGACATTGTTACAGGCCCCTGATATCTTGCAATGTGGGCCGTCATATATTAAAGACCAGGAGCAACCATTGAATGGATCCCATATTTCCATCTGGTAAATTAGCTAGGGTACCGAATCAGAACAAACAGTAGACAGAACCATGGCATTTTGCTGTTGTTTCATTGGACGGTGTGCAAAAGGGCTCTCTTGTACTGTTCAGCTCAGATGGTTAAAGATCATCCTATTCTGCCAACGTGTTTACTCAGACCTGTCCAATAATGGTCTGTCTAAGCCTCGAACGCTGGTCCTATGTTCCCACACCATTGATACCCAAGAAACTTCAATAATCGACTGGGTTTAAAGATTAGATTTGAGCCCAGTTTCAGGCCTAAAAGATTTGCTCAAGCTAAGGTTAATTGGCAGATTGAGCCAGGTTGTGGTCCTCCGGGGAGGAGAGACCAAGAGATCAAGGTCCTACTTTCTTGTCTGCAAGTAACCTTATGAAATATAAGAATTACTACTCCCTAAGACCAAGAGTATGAAGCATCAATTTTAGGGGAACGATCAAGTCGTGTCACTTCATCTATTTCACTCTTGAATCAGCCCTCTATTGTTTGGACGAAGCCCAAGTTGCTTAGGTTGGCTCTGTTTTTCTTTTTTCTTTTTTTTTTATGCTATAATTTTATTCGCTACAGATTTCCCTATCTTGGTTATTATATATTTTAATTTAATGGGCTATAAAATCTTCAAATATGTACATCTTATCTGTAAGACGGTATATTATCTGCTTTCAAGTTTATAAAATGGCCCTTTACCATATGGTGAAGATATAGGTAGGAAGGTGACTCACTGAATAGGCGGACTCTTTGAGCTCGTCCACATATAAAAATTATTCAGGGCTGTTTGGGTCGCGATCGGAATTGAAATTGGAATCGGAATCGGAATTGGAAACTCTTGGAATCAGAATTGGAATGGCCTATTTCGCTGTTTGGTTCATTAAAAGGCTGGAATCGGAATCAGTCGTGATTTTCAATTTTGCCCCTAATAAAAATAAAAATAAAAACAGAAAATGCATGAAAATACCAAAATATATAGAAATTTTACAGGAAATACAAAAATTACAATAATTTTGTAGAAAATCAGAAAAAAAGCATGAAAATACTCAAAATTTGCAGAAATTGCAAAAACAAAAGTAGAAATTTTGCAGAAAACACCATTTGCAAAAAAAATACAGAAAAATGCATAAAAAAATCTATTAAAAGGTGTCTATTAACTAGGTTCTATCTTGTTAACTCCAAATGGGGAGAGGAACCGTTGGCTGTACAGATTCCAATACCACCGGCTCTTTGCAACTACAAATGTCTTTAACGTTCAATGATTGCGGGTGTGTATGACATTTTGGTGGCAAACATGAAACACGACCCATACCCGGAATGGGAATGGCATTCCTTGGGGTGGAGTCGGGAATGGGCATTCCCCCATGTGGAGGGAATCCCATTCCGCCTAGAATGAAAATGAGTTCCATTCCATTTAACTAAATATCCAGAATGGGAGTGAACCATTCCGATTCCGATTCCAGACTCCTATTCACTCAAACTAAACGGACCCTCAATATCTTAGGCCAGGTTAAAGAATTTAATTAACTTCGTTAAATTAATAAAGACAATAAATTAGAAGGAAAATTTATAAAGGAATTTCACAAATTTGTTAAAAATTTTCCTCAACTTTTTGTTTCTCTCTTATTTTCTATCAAATCAAATAGAGCTTAAAATTGACCTTAAACCTACTGGTTATTTGTGTAAAACTAAACATTCAATCCAGTGGCAGAGTTAGGAATTTTCTTTAGGAGGGCGAGTTATATAATTTTTTTTTATTTATGATAATGAAAAAGTTATTTTAAGTCAATTATATCATAGAGATTTGCAACATAAGCAACAAAAATATTGTTACAAAGGCTCAGTTTGAAAGGAGTACAAATACAAACATGTACAGTATAAATACATACAAAAAATACAAAATATAAG